GCTTGGGCCCTGCACCCCATGGGAGACCAGGAAAAGCACCTGGCTCCTGGCTCCTGCCATCGGATCAGCACGGTGCGCCGGCCGCGGCGCGCCGGCTGTGGCGGCCATTGGAGGGTGAACCAACAGCAAAGGAAGACCTTTCTCTCTGTCTCTCTCTCTCACTGTCCACTCTGCCTGTCAAAAAAAAAAAAAAAAAATTTCCGGGCAGGTGCTGTGGTGCAGAAGATTAAGCCGCCGCCTGCTGTGCTAGCATCCCCTATGGACACCGGTTCAAGTCCCAGCTGCTCCATTTCCCTGCTACTACACCTGGGAAGGCAGTGGAGAATGGCCTAGATATTCGGGCCTCTGCCACTCTTGTGGGAGAGTCGGATGGAATTCCTGGTTCCTGGCTTTGGCCTGGAGCAGCTCTCGCTGTTACAGCCATTTGGGTGGTGAACTAGCAGATGGAAGATCGCTCTCTGCCTGTCAAATAAATAACTACATCTTTAAAATTTTTTTTCGAGCACGTGTTTTAAGGACTCAGTACTGAAACTTATTGAGCAGAAGTGAAAAATCTCCTCTACAGCCATCTCCCGACCTCAGTCCTACCACTCACCCAATGGAATCACTCTCAGCTGTGGCGTTAGGTGTCTCAGACTTTTTTGAATGAATGCGTGCATGTTTAGGAAGCGTTTCAGGCTTCTCAGAGTTCTGTATCGACATATCTTCCTTCCTTGTGCATTGCAGATGGAAAGCTGCAAGTGGGTAAGACAAGCATCCTTTTACGTTAGTCTTCACAGCCCCTGCCCGAAAAAACACCTATTTTTTTAAATGACAATTAAAAATATTTAATTTATTTACTTGAAAGACAGAGTTACAGAGGTAGAGATGGGGGTGTGTGGTCTTCCACACACATTGTGGCTGCAATGGGTAGAGCTGAGCTGATCTGAAGCCAGGAGCCAGGAGCTTCTTCTTGGTCTTCTACATGGGTGCAGGGGCCCAAGCACTTGGGTCATCTTCTAGTGCTTTCCCAGGCCATAGCAGGAGCCGGATCAGAAGTGCAGCAGCTGGGACTTCAACTAGCGCCCATAAGGGATGCCAGCGCCGCAGGCCAGGGCTTTAACCTGCTGCGCCACAGCACCAGCCCTGAAACACCTATTCTTTTTTTTTTTTTTTTTTGACAGGCAGAGTGGACAGTGAGAGAGAGACAGTGAGAAAGGTCTTCCTTTGTCGTTGATTCACCCTCCAATGGCCGCCACGGCCGGCGCGCTGCGGCCGGCACATCGCGCTAATCTGATGGCAGGAGCCAGGTGCTTCTCCTGGTCTTCCATGGGGTGCAGGGCCCAAGTACTCAGCCCATCTTCCACTGCACTCCCTGGCCACAGCAGAGAGCTGGCCTGGAAGAGGGGCAACCGGGACAGAATCTGGCGCCCCGACCGGGACTAGAACCCGGTGTGCCGGCGCCACAAGGCAGAGGATTAGCCTAGTGAGCCACGGCGCCGCCCAAAACACCTATTCTTGATGGATGGATGAGCTGGAGAAAGTGATGCAAGGCAGGATCCCTTTGGGGAGACCTTGGGGTCACCAGGATGGGAGATCCGGGAGCTGCAGGAACAGCGCACGTGCTACCATTAAGTTCCCAGGCGACTGGCCTGGCTGCCAGGGTGTGCACACAGGCCCCAGGCTGCAAAGTTACTCTCCTGTGGGTTGTCTGGTGGCCGAGGGGAGGGGGGCGGAGGGGAGGGGGGAGGCATGAGGGCGGAATGTGGGCTGGGCCAGGTTTCGAATTACAAGTGGCACAGAGGCCTGCTGGAACCACACTTTAAATAGCCAGGACCCGCCCCTGCTCCCTTGGACAATTCTCCTGGGAACTGGACCTCCGGCAGCCACTTCTCTTAAGGTTCGGAATGTTTTCTCCTCTCTCTCTCTCTCTCTCTCTCCCCCCCTCCCTCTTCTGTCTCTGGGTCTCAGACTGCGGGTTGGTGGATCCATGGGACTGACAACCCAAGAAAGCCCTGATCGGCTGATACTTCAGTGTGCATGTGCAGACACTGGGCTGTTCTCCTGACTTTTGGAAGCATGGGTGGCTGATGACTTAAGGGACAGTGTGATTTCGAGAACGAGAACCCTAGATGGAGAGGAAGCATGTCTGAATTTAACTCCAAGAAAATCAAGGCGTTCTCCTCTGTGAAATGAGACCATGATCAAGTCTTTGACAGGACTGACAGAAAATGAATAGCTGAGTGTCTGTTAGGGCACCGCGCGAGGGGTCTTCCAGAAGTTCACGGCAATGGGGTAGGAAGAGCAAACCGCCTGCATTTCACAGTTTTTGCAGTAACCCGGACTGACGTGCTGATTCCGTTTTTCACGAGCTTGTTGGCGTTTCCTCGGCTATCTCCTCACTTAATTCTGTTGCAACGTGAATCCTCTCATCTCAGAGTTACTCATTAACTTCCCCGAAGTCAGGCAGCGGCATGAGAAAAAGCTCGGGTCGGAACCCAGGCTGGTGCCCCTCTGCAGCCGGTGTCCTTTCAACTTCAACCTGCTCCCTTGAGCGGCCACCCTAGTGAGGCCACCCTAGGGGAGGGTCAGGAAGCGGAGGGTGACGAGTCCCCAGCGCCGGGCCATGTCCTTTAGGTGGGGACGGCAGCCCCGAACCAACACTAGACCTTAAACCACCTCCTCCAAAGGACAGAGGAGCCCTCGTGGGTCCCGTGGCTAAAATTTCTCCACTTGGCCCATGCACGATCTTTGTAGCCTGCTCCTAATCTGTCAAATAAGCAAAGGTGCTCAGTGAATGCTGACTTCTCGCTGGGGAGGCAAAGTCTGTTTGGGGGGAGTCTGTGGCCAGGAGGGGCGCCCTGCTGAGAGTGTTTTTGGGGCCTAAGACTAAGCCCAGCCATCCACATCCAAAAGTGGGCAGAGAGGGCTCACTGGAGGATGCTTCTATTAGACGCGTGACGGCTCCAGGAGCTGGAAGTGTAGGCGAGCTGGACTGGGTTCGAGTCCTGGCTGTGCAACTCCCCAGCTCTTTGGCAACAGGCTCCTCCCCGAGCTGCGCCGTCCTCTCTTCCCCCAGGAAGCAGCAGGGACGCCGCCCGCCTCTCAGGGCACTTGTGAGAATGAAGTGCACAGATGTATGTGAAAATACCCAGTGCACTACGTGTCCCCACGTGCAGTCTCACCCTCAGCCCCAACAGCAGTCGGGAAGGGAGCACGTTGACCGTGAAAGGTTTCGAACGGCGGCTCTGTTGTCCGTCCTCCCTTCGTGTGTCGTCACCGACAGGGAAGGAAGAGCCCCTGGCTGATTTCAGAGAGAGGTGGAGGGAGCGTCCAGACAGGTCAGGCTGCCTGCTCACAGTCTCCGGTCCCACTCAGCCTCTTGCATCCCCTTAGGGGGATTTCTAGGAAAAAACGGTTTTACTTTTTCAGAGTACTCAAATAAAAACACATTCTTCAGTGAGGCTGTAGAGTATACAGATAAGGAAAATATTCCCAGGGTCTGACCACTAAGAGAGGAACATTTTGGTGGACAGCCTATCTTTCAGTGCTGGTAAATGCTTCATACTTGGCAAGCACAATTGTATTGCATGTGATGTCTTCACTCCATATGTTGTAAACAACCTCTCATTTCACTACATTTCTTCCAACACAGTTTTAAATGAGTCTATGGTAGTCCGTTGTGTGCATATGGGTGCCATGGTTTACTAACCTGTCTACCACTTAAAATTTTTAAGATTTCCTCTATTTGAGAGAGTGAGATTAACAGACACATAGAGACTTCCCATCTGCTGGTTCACTTGCCAAGCGCCCCACAACTGCCAGAGCTGGACCAGGCTGAAGCCAGGAACTCAATCCAGATCTCCCACATGGGTGATGGGAGCCCAATTACCTGAGCCATCACCTGTTGCCTCTCTAGGGGAGCTTTAGCAGGAAGCTGGGATGGAGAGTGGAACCAAGACTTGAACCAAAGGCACTCAAACATGGGATGCCGGCTCCCCAAGTGGCGGCATTAACTACTGTACCAGACGCCCGCCATCCTCTCTACCTTTACGCCCTTTGTTTGTATTAGCATTATGTACCTAAACCAAATCCTGACCCTCAGTCACAATGATTTCCTTAGGGTACATTCACCCATTGGCTTTGAGGTCTTTCTAACAGTCCCCAGCACACAGAGTAAAGGAACAGAAGCACCAGCCAATACAGACGAGCCTGGCTGGAGGGTGGCAGGGAGAACTTGGAACCCCAGGGACCTGTGCAGTGGAAGCCAAGCCTGCCCTTCCTGAAAAAGGGCAGGACAATGTATTCTCCGGGGTCATGACCCAGCTCGCCCATTCTCGGATGCCAGAGGAGGGCCAGAGCCTGCGGTGGGTGGGGGGGATGGGGGGGGAAGGCATGCACCCTCTCCCAGGGTATTCGTTCCCTTGGGACCTGACTCGTAAAGGGAGTGAGGAGGAGGAGGGCTTTGATTTTGAGGTTTCCAGCAGTAAGTAACACAGCACCCCACTTGTTTTTCAGGTGGGATGGATAGCAGGGTCTCAGGCACAACCAGTAATGGAGAGACGAAACCAGTGTATCCAGTCGTGGAAAAGGCGGAGGAAGATGGCACGCTGGAGCGGGGACACTGGAACAACAAGATGGAGTTTGTGCTGTCAGTGGTTGGGGAGATCGTTGGCTTAGGCAACGTTTGGAGGTTTCCTTATCTGTGCTACAAAAATGGGGGAGGTGAGAGCCGCTGTGCCATGCCACCCACCCCTGGAAGGAGGACGCCTTCGCCTCCTGCACCTGCTGGCCCTCTGGGAGTCCTTAGATGTGTAGGATGCTGGTGGTCAGGAAGGACCTAGAAAAAAATCACGTGGTGTTTGCAGGGCTCTTTCTCTGAGTGTGACGTCATAGAAATAGGAGTGCAGACTTGGAACTGGATGCACCAGGGTCTGGGTTCAGCATCTGCTCCTTAGGCTGTCTGTGGTTGTGGCCAAGTTTGTAAGCTCTCAGAGTCTCAGCTGAGATGATAAGCCTTGCTTTTCCAGGTTGCTGATGCACATGCAGTGGTTAATAAACAGCTGCAATGCTGCTGCTGCTGTTGACACCACATTGCTGTGTGGTCTTCAGATTCCTGAGCCTTGACCTGGCATCTGCCACCTCCTCTGCTGGCTGCATGATGTCCCTGGAGCCACTCATCACAAGCCCTTGCCAGGACTGCACTGTGACCTTTGACATGAGTGGCTCTGCCTTTGAAAACTTCCCGGGACAAGTGTGCGCATGCGTGTCTGTGCACTTGTGCAGTTCTTCACTGTTACTACTGGCTTCTCCTTCTCTGGGCTAAGCTCGCTGTTATGCCCACAGCGGCCGGGGCGCTTTGTTACCTACTGCCAGGGGATGGCAAGTTTCTGTTGGGGAGCCCCTGAGGGGTTTCCTGGGTACTGAGAGGTGTTCTGGCTGATCTGTGGCTTAGCGAGATCTTGTTGGCGAGTAGGTCAGGTTCTGTGTGGAGCCGGCAGCAGGAGGCAGAAGCAGGTCACCGGGGAAAATGCCAACAGCAGTGGCGGTGGCAGTGGCAGCCATCCCGAGGCTTGGAGGGGCCTCTATCGCGACACCCACCCTCATGTGGCTGTCTCGTGCTGGCTTCAGAGCGGGAACACACGGAGCCCAGACCGGAGGTGGGGTCGGCTGCAGACTGGCCCTGGGTTGTGTTTTTCCAGAGGGAAGGGAATGGGCTATCATGTCCTTGCTCCCCAGGAGTTTCTGGCCAGTGGCCTGAAATCACAGGACTTTGTTCAGGACACATATCGTGAGGGAAGGAGGGAGGCCTTCCCACTTCTTCCCTAGCCCTGGACCCACCGCATGCTTGTTCAGGAATTCAGGCCTGATCGGCCCTGCGTTAGAGAAGTAGGTGAGGGGTGGGGCTGGCCAGGGCACAGACAGGAGGCCGGGGATGTAAGCGGGCATCTGGGACTCGGTATCTGGAACCCAGTAACCGGCTTAGCGCCTCACGTGGCAGGAGGATTAGGAGGTGAGCAGCTTTTCCCAAGCCTCTCTGGAATTGGGTAAAGGTTGGCCTGGGAATTAGCAGGAATGGCTCCCGGAGCTGGGAGGGAGTGGCGTCCAGGCCTGAAGCAGGGGCAGCGGAGGGGAGTGTGGGGAGTGGGGCTCGCCCTGTTTGATTTGTCTGGCAGTGCGTGGGTTCAGGCTATGCCACAGGGCGGTGGGGCGAGTGTGTGCGGGAATGTGCTGGCTGCGTGGTGTGTGGAAGTGCAGAAGCAGGAAGCAAAACGTGCCCATGGTCTGTGGCCTGTGGCCCGTGGTGGAGGTGGTGGGGTGGCTGTGGTGGGTTCTTGCTGCGTGGATAGGACCTGCCTTCCCGCACGTGATCCCAATGGGTAGTCAGACATTCTTAGGGGTCCTGTGATCCAGGCACATTCTGTTTAACCCTTTTACCACCCTGACACTTTCTCCCCCTGAGGAAGCACAGAGCCGACAGCCGGAAGGGAGCGTACGGAGGGACTTTGGAGCCAGATGCTAATCGCAGGTTTGCTGTCGCAAGTCACCCAGGGCCACTGGGGGAATTGACAGACAGGCCTCTGATCAAGGATGAGTATGGTCGTTAGAGGAACTCACACCTGCCTCGTTTTCTGTTTTCTGGTGTTCCCAGGTCACTCTGTCATCAAATGACTCCTACAGGGGGAACTTTATATATTTGCCATACGTATGTGTGTGTGTGTGTGTGTGCACATACTCATATGCAAATACTCTAAAGATGTCAAGATACAGTAGATCTCATTTGAAGTGAGTTCCAGAGCAGGGAAGGGGCGGAGTCAAGAGCAGGACAGGGGGACAGGGGAACGCCTCCAACTAACTCATCCCCAAGGAAAACCAGCCCAGCAGAGAACCAGCCCTGGCGCTTCCTCCTGTCATCTTCATGTCTTGTTTTTTTTTTTTTTTTTTAAATTCTTTCAAGATATTTTAAAATTTTCTTTGGAAGGTAGAGAGAGAGAGAGAGAGAGAGAGATCTTTCATCAGCTGATTTATTTCCCAAGTGGTCACAATGGCTGGGGCTGGGTCAGGGCAAAGCTGGGAGCCAGGAAGTCTACCCAGGTCTCTCATGTGAATGGCAGGGGTCCAAGTACTAGGGCCATCTTCTGCTGCTTTCCCAGGTACATTCGAAAGGAGCTGGATTGGAGTGGCATATGGGATGGTGGGGCTGCAGGTGGCGGCCTACCCTAGTAAGCCACAACACCCACCCCAAGGCCCCAGACATTTTGAATGATACTTAACCTGGATAAAGGAGCCCGCACACACATCAGAAGCAACAGGTGGGCTTTTAGGGACGTGGTCGGGAGGGCTGCCCGTCTCTGCCATCCCTGGGCAGTCTTCCTGCTTGTGCAGGACCCGTCACGCATCCACCTCCAAGCCTCTTCTCATGCTTGTGGCTTTTTTGATTCTCCAGTCTCAGGTGCATCGGCACACAGCTGGCCATGCCCTGGCTGGCTGAGGTGGATCACAGGTGCTTCCTAGCACTTGGCAGCTAAACCAGACCATACCCTGTCCTCGTGGTGGTGGCGGGGGGTAGGGTGGGGACAGATAATAAACACAAATTAGACAGTTGTCAGGAGTTCCTGAGTGCAGTGGGGACAGGAGAGCAGGAGTGTGGGTACGGTGGCCTGGAGGCCTCGTGGAGAGCGTCTGAGAGAAGGCTTGCCAGGAGGCAGGTGCAGAGGGCAGAGCAGCAGAGGCTGGTTGGAGGAGCCTGGAGCAGGTGCAGTGAGCAGAAGGTCAGGTCCAGGAGAAAATGGGTGGGCTGGGCTGGGGGCAGATCAGGGAGGGCCTTACGGGCCATTGCAAGGTCTCAGCGTTTATTGAAGTGCCCTGTGGAGCGAGCAGGGGTTTTGAGCTGGGGCTGTGTGGAGGGTGGAGGAGGGAGGAGGGAGAGCAGAAGCTCTGGGAATCCCCCTGCACTCCTTCTTTCTCTCCCAGTGGGTGGTCACCCCAACACCTGGCCCCGATGCTTCCTCCGGAATCTGGGTCTTTGGCAGGAGCTTCTCCAGCTCCCTGAGCTCCTCAGTACCCAGGATCCGTGCGACTGGAGCCCCCGCAGCCGGGCCCTGAGCATGGGTGTCTTGTGGGGAAGGACTGTGGGGTGGGCGGCAGCAGAGCCCACCTCAGCTCTGGAGGGTGAGGAGGTGAGGAGAGGGCACATGGGGACACCCCGTAAGCTGATGTGCTTGTAGGGATCACAACCAGAGGAAGGGGGAGCACTTCTCTTCCATTTGTGTCCGAACAGTCATCGTGGGACAGTTTGTCACCATTTCCCTGCCTTTCCTCGATGCCCACCGCTGGTGCCGCTTCACGGCGCTCCCTGTGGCCCGGCTGCTACAGCCCATGGCCGGTTTCTCTCTGTGACAGCAGCTGGGAGACTGTGCTCCTTTCCAGAGCACCTAGCAACTCTCTAGATGCGAGTCGGTCTCGCCTGTGTCACAGGGGAGACGCCGGCACCTGTTAGCATTTTCACGAGGCCAGTGCGGGTGACACAGGGGCACAGGCACCGGGGCATGCCATCTGCCGACTCCGGGCCTGACTCTTGTCTTTTGAGAGCGGTGATTGGGGGGGACCAAGTAGCCGCTCAGGACGCCCTGGTCGGCACCTGGGTTCCTCCTGGGCACCTCCTGCACTTCCAGGGCAGCAGGTCCTCCTGGCAGGTGTGGACTTTACTCCTGTGCCAGGCGGCCTAGGTGCTCGCAGTCAGAGGAGGCGGGAACCCACTGCGGTTAAAGATTGGCCCGGTTGATTGGGCAAGAGCAGGCCACGCAAATAGGGGGAGGGCTTGAGCCCCAGCCTGGTCGCTTCCTTTCAGGAGCTGTTCCTATCGGCTACTGGGTCCTTTCCGGCCTAAGTTTCCCCTCTTGCTCACTAAGTCTTGGATTAATTTATGGCCCGATGAGGCTGCATTGCCTGTAATCTTTATTTCTTCCCCCTCAGGATCCTCCAGAGCCCCCTGAGTGCCTGCACTGTGCAGGCGCTCACTGCCTCAGGACGTGTAGAAGAGCCCAGGACTCCGCTTCACACGTATTTGAAGTGCACAACTCGATCAGTTGAGGGTACATCAAAAAGTTCATAGAAAACTGAATTAGAAGATAAGTTTCTTTTGGTGCAAAAAAAAATGAAGTCCATGCATAATTTTTTATGGTAAACATTTCTGTGAACTTTTGAAGACCCCCCTCATTCCAGGGTGTGTACACCCCTGAAACCACTGCCTTGTCAAGAAAACGAACTCATCCATCATCTCCATTCTCATCCTCCCCCCATCTCTGCCCCCTCCCCACCGCACCCCAACACAGCCACGTCTGTTCTGTCACCATACATGCATTTTGCTCTCAAGTTTTATATGCACAGACTCATACATCATGCACTTTCTTTATCTGGCTTCTTCTTTTTAAAATATTTACTTATTTATTTGAAAGTCAGAATTAGAGAGAGAGAGAGAGAGAGAATCTTCCATCTGCTGATTCACTCCCCAAATGGCTGCAACAGCCAGGGCTGGGCCAGGCTGAAGCCAGGAGCCAGGAGCTTCAACTGGGTCTCCCATGGGGGTTCAGGGGCTCAAATACTTGGGCCATCCTCTGCTGCTTTCCCAGGAGCATTAGCAGGGAGCCTCCTAAGATGTAGAGCAGCCAGGACTCGAACATGCGCCCATATGGGATGCTGGCACTGCAGACAACGGCTTAACCAGCTATACCACAGCGCCGGACCCTTTATCTGGCTCCTTTCACACACATAATTATCTTGAGATTCATCCATGTATCATTTCCTCATGTCAATAGTTGAACCCTTATTATCCTGACTTCTTTTTTTTTAATATTTACATTATTTATTTAAGAAGCAGAGCTATGGGGTGCGTGTGTGTGGGGGAGAGAGAGAGAGAACACACACACACACACACACACACAGAGAGAGAACAGAGAGAGAGAAACTTCCATTTCCGCAAATGGCTGCAAAGGCCAGGGCTGGGCCAGGCTGAAGCCAGGAGCCAGGAACTCCATCTGGGTCTCCCATGTAGATGCAGGGGCCCAAGCACTTGGGTCATCTTCTGATGCTTTCCCGGGCACATTAGCAGAGACCTGGATCAGAAGTGGAGCAGCTGAGACTAGAATTGGCACCCATATGGGATGCCCACAGCAACTCAGCCCACTGTACCACAACAGGGGTCCCACACAACCTTTTGTGGAGTATAAAATTTCATGTTGACAGCATTTTTTCCTTTAACAAATTGCTCCTCTATCTGTGTTCTCATTTGCATTGTTTCCAACAAGAAATTTGATGGAATAGTTTTTTGGTGTATGTTCTTCTGTATTTATGGGTTTCTTGGTGTGTGTGTGGTTACCTTCAAGATGTCCTCTAAAAACCTTGTTATCACTGGTTTAAATAATGTGACAATGATGTGTCTTGGTTTAGTTTTCCTCATGTTTCTTGATTTGGTGTTTGTTGAGCTTCTTGGATCTATAGATTTATAGATTACATTAAATTTGTAAAAATTTCAGTCGTTATTCCTTTAAATTTTTCTTCTGTTCCTTCTCTCTTTTTATTTTCTTAGGTGATCTAATTATCAGTATATTAGTTTGAAGTTGTCCCATAGCTCACTGATACTGGTTCTTTTCAAAAGATTTCTTTTCTGGGGACGAGCATTGTTGTCCAGTGGGTTAAGTCACTGTTTGCAATGCTGGTATTTCATATAGGAGCACTGGTTCTAGACCTGGCTGCTCCACTTCCAAGCCAGCTCCCTGCTAATGTGCCCAGGAAAGCAGTGGAAGGTGGATCAAGTGCTTGGGCCACTGCCACTCACATGGGAGAACAGGGTGGAGTTCTTGGCTCCTGGCTTTGTCTTGGCCCAACCCTGGATGCTGTGGCTATGTGGAGAGTGAACCAGTGGATGGAATATCTCACTCTGTCTCCCTCTCACTGTGCCTTTCAAATAAATAAAATCTATCTTGTTTTTGTTTTTGTTTTTTTTTCACTGTGTTTTATTTGAATAGTTTCTGCCAGTTTTCATGTTCACCAGTCTTTTCTTCTGCTGTGCCTCCTGGCATCAATACCATCCAGCGCACTTTTCATTCCATACATTGTTATTTTCATTTTTAGAAGTCTGATTTAGGTCTTTTCCAATAACTTTTTTTTTTTGACAGGCAGAGTGGACAGTGAGAGAGAGAGAGACAGAGAGAAAGGTCTTCCTTTTGCTGTTGGTTCACCCTCCAATGGCCGCCACGGCCGGTGTGCTGCGGCCGGCGCACCGCGCTGATCCGAAGGCAGGAGCCAGGTGCTTCTCCTGGTCTCCCATGGGGTGCAGGGCCCAAGCACTTGGGCCATCCTCCACTGCACTCCCTGGCCACAGCAGAGAGCTGGCCTGGAAGAGGGGCAACCGGGAAAGAATCTGGCGCCCCGACCGGGACTAGAACCCGGTGTGCCGGTGCCGCTAGGTGAGGATTAGCCTATTGAGCCACGGCGCCGTCTCCCAATAACTTTCAAGCCTATAATGTTCTGAACATGTGCAATACAGCTGTAATAGCATTTGAAAAGCAGAGTTGGAGGCAGGGAGAGAGAGATCTTCCATTTCCTGTTTCACTCTCCAAATAGCTGCAATGGCCAGGGCTGAGCCAGGCCCGGGCCAGGAGCCAGGAGCTTCATCTGGGTCTCCTATATGGGAACAGGGGCCCAAGAACTTGCACCATCCTCTGCTGATTTCCCAGGCACATTAGCAGGGAGTTGGATCCAAGGTGGAGCAGCTGGGACATGAACCAGCACCCATATGGGATGCCGGCACTGCAGGTGGAGGCTTTACCTGCTATGCCACAGTGCTGCCTCCTGTAATAGCTTTTATTGTTTGTTTGTTTATGTTTTTAAAGATTTATTTGAAAGTCAGAGTTACACAGAGAGAGAAGGAGAGAGGTCTTCCATCCACTGGTTTACTCCCCAGTTGGCCGCAACAGCCAGAGTTGTGCTGATCCGAAGCCAGGAGCCAGTAGCTTCTTCTGGGTCTCCCACATGGGTGCAGGGCCCCAAACACTTGGGCCATCTTCCACTGCTTTCCTAGGCACACTAGCAGGGAGTGGGATTGGAAGTGGAGCAGGCAGGACTTGAATGGGTGCCTATACAGGATGCCGGCACTGCAGGCAGCGGCTTTACCTGCTACACCACAGCACTGGCCTCTGTAATAGTTTTTTAAATTTCCTCATATGCTAATTCCAATGTCTGTGAGATTCAATTCATTGGTTTATTTGTTTAGTATGAGTAGCTTTTTAATATTAAAATAGCTTGCTTTAATGTTAGATCATGGATTTACTAAAAGTGAATGAAGAATTGCTTCTTTTATAATTGTCTTTTCAGTTTTTTTTTTTTAAATATTTATTTGTTTGAAAGTCAGAGTTACAGAGAGAGAGAGTGACAGAGAGAGAAAGATATCTTCCACCTGTTGGTTCACTCCCTAAATGGCTACGACAGCCAGGGCTGGGCCAGACTGAGGCTAGGAGCCTGAAACTCCATCTGGGTCTCTAATGTGGGTGGCAGGGGCCCAAGCACTTGGGCCATCCTCCACAGCTTTCCCAGGTGCATTAGCAGGGAGTCAGATTGGAAGTGGAGCAGCAGGGATGTGAATTAGTGTTTGTATGGAATGAAGGCGGTGGTCTAACCCACTGCTCCAAAATGCCAGTCCCTGTCTTTTCAATTTTATAGCTGAAAAACTTAACAGATCTTTTTGAAATTTTAATTAACACATACAAATTGTATGTATTTATGGGGTACTCTGTGATAATTTGATACTTGTATGCAATGCATAATGATCAAAGGAGGGTGATTAGCGTTTCCCTCTGCTTAAGCAATTATCATTTCTTTGTGTTGAGAATTTTTGAACTCTTTTTCTTTAGTTCTTTATAAAATAAATAATAAATTGTTATAAGCTATAATCACTATGCAGTGCTATAGAACAAAAGAACTTGTTTATTCTACCTAACTGTATTTAAAAAAAAAAAAAATTATTTCATCTACTTGAAGAGCAGAGAGTGGGGAGTGAGGGGAGAGATCAATCTTCCATCTTCTGGTTCTTTCCCTAAGTGGCTGCAACAGACAGGGCTGGGCCAGACTGAAGCTGGAGCCCAGAACTCCACCCAGGTCTCCCACATGGGTGGCAGGGGTCCAAGCACTTGAGCCATCATCTGTTGCTTCCCAGGATGCATTAGCAGGAAGCTGGACCCAAAGTAGAGCAGCTGGGACTTGAACTGGCCCTCTGATTTAGCATGTGGGCACCGTAAGCGGCAGCTTGATCTGCTGCACCCCCCCCCCCAATCTAACTGTATTTTGGTGTCCTTATCCACCTCTCCGTCCTCCCTCCGCCCAGCCTTCCTTCCCTTTAGCGACCACCATTCTACTCTCTGCTTGCACGACATTAACTGTTGAAGCTTCTGCCTAGGAATGAGAACGTGCAGGATTTGTTGTTCCATGCCTGGCTTCTTTTTTTTTTTTTTTTTTTTGACAGGCAGAGTGGACAGTGAGAGAGAGAGACAGAGAGAAAGGTCTTCCTTTGCCGTTGGTTCACTCTCCAATGGCCGCCGCGGCTGGCGCGCTGCGGCCGGCGCACCGCGCTGATCCGATGGCAGGAGCCAGGAGCCAGGTGCTTTTCCTGGTCTCCCATGGGGTGCAGGGCCCAAGCACCTGGGCCATCCTCCACTGCACTCCCGGGCCACAGCAGAGAGCTGGCCTGGAAGAGGGGCAACCGGGACAGAATCCGGTGCCCCGACCGGGACTAGAACCCGGTGTGCCGGCGCCGCTAGGCGGAGGATTAGCCTAGTGAGCCGCGGCGCCGGCCATGCCTGGCTTCTTTCACTTCAACATAACGTCCCCCAGTTCCGTCCATGCTGCCATAAATGACATTGGTTTAGTGGCTGAGTAATATTCCACTGTGCGTGGGTTTCACATCTTCTTTACACACCCGTGTGTCGACGGACACCTGTGAGTCACGTTTTCCTCCTTCCTTGCTTTCCTTGGGGTTTTTGAATAGATGCCAGAGCTGGGGAAATTCCTGCCTTCTTGCATGCTGGATAGTTCTGTGTTTCCATAGATTTTCTTGAGCTCTGTTCTGGAACCCGTGAAGCCAGTTGATCCTTTTGTATGCTGCTTCGAAGATTTCATAGGTGGGACTGAAATTGCGCTTGGTCCAGGGTGAATTATTCCATTCTGCTGAGGAGATGGGCTGCTGCGCGCTCTATGGTTGCCCAGTGACTCTGGAGGTGGTGTCCAACCAGTGGGAGGAGGCTGTGTGAGCACGGTCTATCACCTGCCTCGGGTCATTCCTGCACACAGTGTCCTGACCCGCACCCGCAGGGAGCCGGAGGGGACTCTCCCAGGGGCTCCGGTGTCCCTCTCTGTGCGGTTCTCCCTGCCCTGCTCTTGGGTCCTTCCCGTGGGCTTCCTCTCCAGGAGATGGAGGTGCCGGGCAGAGACAGTACCGGCATCTCTGGCATTGGCAGGCTCATGTCAGCCAAACAGAAGCAGAGAGGTTCCTCTAGGGAAATCTGATTTCAGCCCGCCGAGTGTCGCTGCCTGCTTCCCTGCAGGCAGTTATTCTTTGGAGGAGAATGATGGCCTGGGGACTTTGCTGCTGCTCCTGGGTGTCCGCCATCCGTCACGCCGTCTAGGCAGTGGCTGATGTTCAGCGAGGAGCAGACCTGGGTAGATGTGGTTGGAAACGAGGCATGAGGCTGTGTCGCTCCTAGGTCATTTGGAACCTCTGGCTCCTCCCTGCTGCAGCTCTAGGCATCTGGACAGGTGTCTCCTGTAGTTCTGCATGTTGCCCACCCCAAGATTCCGGCTGGCAGGATGGGGTGATAATGGGAGGAGGCGAATGTGGACCGCCAAGAGGATATCGCCAGGTGACACACAGCCTGCCTTCTACCCACAGGTGCCTTCTTCATCCCCTACCTCATTTTCCTCTTTACCTGCGGCATTCCTGTCTTCCTCTTGGAGACAGCACTGGGCCAGTACACTAGCCAGGGTGGCGTCACAGCCTGGAGGAAGATCTGTCCCATCTTTGAGGGTGAGTAACTTTATGCCTGACTCCGGGGTCTCCCCACTCGTCGCTTCAAGCCTCATTTGCAAGGGCCGGGTGCTGAGCAGCAGGTGGGGTCCAGGTTAGACTTGGTGTCTCTGTGTTGAACTTCTGTGTCTGGGCTCAACTCTCAACTGGTCACCTGGCCCACCAGATGCTGGGGGAGCATTTTACTCCAAAATAAAAACCAAGAAAACTGCATATGTATGTGTGTGCATGTAACTTTGTAATTTGTATATGTATGTTTGTAATTTTCTTTTAAGTTTTATTTTGCAATAGAGACTCAAAAACTCAGAGGGCCTGTGTACCCTTCCTCCATTTCCCCCAGTGACAGCATCCTACCGAATTACAGCACAGTGTCGGAACGGGGAAGGCGACCTTAGTACCGTCCCCAGGCCTTATGAGGTCCCACCAGTTTTCCTTGCAGCCATCTGTGAGTGTGTGAGTGCGACTCTGCAGTTCTGTCGTGATGGCAGATTCATGCCACCACCTCCGCACCAGGCTGTCTGTCACACTCCCCCTTCATGGCCAAACTTCCCTGCCCCCAACGTCTGCCCTCTGGAAATGACCAGTGCCTTTGTTGTCCACCTCTATACATTTGGCATGTTGAGAAAGTTCTAGAAATAGAATCATGCAGAATGTAACCTTTCAAGACTGACTTTCCCACTCCGCGTGATGCCCTCAAGGCCCAGTGATCCAGCTAGATCGTGTGTCCACGACTTGTTCCTTTTCCTTGTGGAGAGCAGTGTTCCCCAGTGTAGCAGTTCCACAGTCTAACCCTTCACACCCTGAAGAACTGAGTTGTTTCCTGTATGGTGGGTTTTATTTCATTATTTTTTCCACACAATTTCTGTATCTATTAACAGAGAATGGGACCAGTTATGTTCTCCTTTTTTTCAGTTAGCTGTGTTTTTTATTTTCTGCATGCTGATCATTTAATTGCACAAACTTTCATCAAGGTGATAAATACAGCGTCATTTGCTTACTCGTAAGATTTTTATATTCTGCTATTGGGTCTATGCCTGTAGATAGCACCCCCACCTTTGGGAATGATTTCTTTGGGAAAAAAAGTCCTTGATGAGAATGACTGGATCCAGTGTGTAATCAGGTTGCTGTCTCTTGATCTTGTGGACCAAGTTGTCCTGTGGAAGTATTTTACTGACTTCCAGTGTCACCAGGCACAATTGGCGTGCCTACTGCTGCGTTCTTTCAGTGGTTCCGGAACATGGGTATCGCCCAGGGACCTTCAAAGTACACTGTAGCTGGAGCTCCATCCGGGACTACGGGATGTTTTAAAGTATCCCTAAGTAATTCTGATCAGCAGACAAGCCTGGAAACCTCTGAATGATGGAATTTCTAAAAACACTCACCAAGGCTGTGAGTGCAGAATGGGACCTCCTTGTAGTTTCATTTCGCACACCTGCAATGGCCGGGTGAGCGTATTGCAGAGACTCCCTGCACTTTGTTCTGTGAGAATTGTTGGTCCCTGCTCTTAGCTTGTGCTTCCCTGTTTCAGAAGGTATCACCTGGGCAACATGCACTATGGGGGCCTTGGAGTTAGTCTCACACTTTTAAAAGGAACTTTGAGCTGGTGAACTCTCAGGACAGGATCTGGATGAATGTGTGCAGGAAACAGGGAACGTGCGCAGCCGTGAAAGGGAGGGCAGTCCCCTCTGACCTGCAGAGGGTGGGGGCTGGGGTGCAGAGGAACGAGCCGGGAGCCAGGAGCCGAGGCCCCAGGCCTGCTTTGGAGCGCTGTCCATGGAGCGCGCGCTCTCCTCCCTGGGCTGGGCACTGCGGCCACGTCCCCAGCCCAACCCTGCAGCTCCCCTCGCAGGCATCGGCTATGCCTCCCAGATGATCGTTGTCCTTCTCAACGTCTACTACATCATTGTGCTGGCCTGGGCCCTCTTCTACCTCTTCAGCAGCTTCACTCTCGACCTGCCCTGGGGAAGCTGCCACCACGAGTGGAATACAGGTAAGGCTGCCACCGGAGGCCCTCCCCCGCCTCCCACTCTGCCACATTAACCAGGAGTGCGATAGCTCTGCATCCCAGGTAGCCCAGTGCCCTCTCAGGACATGTAGATAAGGAGAGCTTACGTCAAAAATAAGATCTGTGGTCTGGCACTGTGGCGCAGCAGGTGAAGCCATTGCCTGCAGTGCCGGCATCCCATATGGGCGCCAGTTCGAGTCGCGGCTGTTCCTCTTCCAATCCAGCTCTCTGCTGTGGCCTGAGAAAGCAGTGGAAGATGGCCCAAGTTCTTGGGTCCCTGCACCCAGGTGGGAGACCTGGATGGTTTCTAGGTTCCTGGTCCAGCCCTGGCCGATGTGGCCATTTGGGGAGTGAACCAGCGGATGGAAGACCTCTCTGTCTGTAACTCTGCCTCTCAAATAAATAAATAAATAAATAGAACTTAAAAAAAAAATAAGACTGTGGCAGGTGTTTGGCCATCTCATACTGGAGACCCTGCATTGGAATCCCAGCTCCACGCCCAGTGCTAGCTTCCTGCTAAGGCACTCCCTGGGAGACAGCAGTGATGATGCAACTAGTTGGGTCTCTCCTACCCACATGGGAGACCTGCATCATGTTCCAGGCTCCTGGCTTTAGCTTGACCCAGCCCTGGCCACTGGGGGCATTTGAAGAATGAACCAGTGGATGGCAGCTCTCTGTCTGATAGTCTCTCTCTGCATCACAGACTTTAAAAAAAGACTTGAAGCATTCAATTCATGTATTTGGTAAATAGAACTGATTTTTAAAAATGTGGTGTAGCTATGTATTTCTATTTGAAATGTGGTTAGTTTGATAAATGTATATATTATTTGTTCATTTGGTTTTTTTCCTCGTATCTTCTTTCTAAGACTATTTTAGATCTTTCAAGCTTATATTCATCTTAACTTAATTAGGGGATGAGCTCTTTTGTGTGTCACCACTATAATTTAGAACATCAGTGAACTTGACCTGGGCTTATAAGACTGCACAAACCTTCTAGGGCGATAGAATCACTGGATCGAACATACGAAAATCAACAGCAATGTCTAGGGTAGGACTGTCATGTGCTTGTGAAGATGAAAATGTTCTCTGCACTAGCCACATGGTAGCCACTAGGGACACATGACTATTGGGCCCCTGAAATGTGGCTAGTGTGTGTGAAGAGCAGGAGGTCAATGTTTTCATTTAAGTAGCCACGTACGGCTAGCGGCTGCCCTCTTGGCCAGCACAGATGGAGAGCATGTTGGACAGAGTTGTTCGGCTTCTCGGTGCTGGTTGCTCCAATACCAGTCGGGGTCTGTCCACGAGACCCCCGTTTTGAAGTGGTGTTAGCCTCTGTTTTTTTTTTTTTTTTTACAGGCAGAATGCAGAGTGGATAGTGAGAGAGAGAGAGAGAGACAGAGAGAAAGGTCTTCCTTTTGCTGTTGGTTCACCCTCCAATGGCCGCCACGGCCGGCGCGCTGCGTCTGGCGCACCACGCTGATCCGAAGGCAGGATCCAGGTGCTTCTCCCTGGTCTCCCATGGGGTGCAGGGCCCTAGCACTTGGGCCATCCTCCACTGCACTCCCTGGCCACAGCAGAGAGCTGGCCTGGAAGAGGGGCAACTGGGACAGAATCCGGCGCCCCGACCGGGACTAGAACCCGGTGTGCTGGTGCCGCTAGGTGGAGGATTAGCCTAGTGAGCTGTGGCGCTGGCTAATTACTCTGTTCTTGTTCAGATAGATCCCCAGCCCCGCACCAGAGCTGCGTCCTTTGCTTGCAGGGAATGGCACCTTTGCTGCACGTCTCCCGGCAGCCTTTCTGCCCTCGCTTGCTGCTCCCAGTTTGCCGGGACCATGCCTGCCCTCATTCCCCAGCCTCCCCTTCAGACATGCCCTTGCAGTCCCTGCCACCACCTCCGTCCCACCATCCTTTCTTGAGGGACACCCTGGCGGTGCATCCCTGGTCGCCCCAGGCCTCCGTTCGATTTTTCTCCAGTGGATCAGCACCTGTGAGGACCCCGGCGCCACCGCGGCCATTCCCCTGCTTCCTGTCTGCTTATTGCCTCGGATTTTGCCCTTGATAGTAAGATCTCAAGTGCAGACTATTTTTTTTGAGGACGTTTGTCTCTGCAGCCTTCCTGCTGAGCACAGTGTTGGCTGTCTTATAAGCCCTTGGAAACATTGGTTGAATGAATAAAGGTTTCAAAAATCTACTTTATTCTAATGTTTTTGTACCCCCCCCCCAAAAAAAAAACCCTTTTATTTAAGGAATACAAACTTCATGCATTTCATAAGTACAATTTTAGGAACATGGTGATTCTTCCCACCATACCCGCCTTCCCGGCCCTCTTCCTCCCTCTCTTATTCCCATTCTTTTTTTTTTTTTTTTAAGATTTATTATTTATTTGAAAGACAGAGTTACACAGAGAGAGGAGAAACAGAGAGAGAGAGAGGTCTTCCATCCGCTGGTTCACTCCCCAGTTGGCCACAACAGCGGTAGTTGCGCCGATCCAAAGCTAGGTGCCAGGAGCTTCCTCCGGGTCTCCCATGTGGGTGCAGGAGCCCAAGGACTTGGGCCATCTTCCACTACTTTCCCAGGCCATAGCAGAGAGCTGGATTGGAAGAGGAGCAGCCAGGTCTTGAACCAGTGCCCATATGGGATGCTGGCACCGCAGGAGGCAGCTTTACCCTCTACGCCACAGTGCTGGCCCCTCCCATTCTTATTTTTTTTTACTAAGATCTATTTTTGATTAACTTTATACTAAGTAAGGAGTTCAACAAGTTGTATGAAAAAAAAAAACCTGTTCTTCAACAGTGGAAACAAGGGCTGTTCAAAGTCATTGCATCTTGTAGTGTCAATTTCACTTCTATAGATTACCTTTTTAGGTGCTCTATTAGTCATCACAGGTCAGGGAGAACATATGTTTGTCCTTATGGGACTGGCTTACTTCACTAAGTGTGATGTTTTCCAGTTGCATCCATTTTGTTGCAAACGACAGGATTTGATTTCACCGCAGGTAGCAGCTGTATCTGCTATGCCACAGCGCCGGGGGTGGGGTGGGGGTGGGGTGGGGTGGGGGGTGGGGAGTGCGGGGTTGTAATCTTCAGTCATGTGGTCAGAAAAAGCCTAACTCAGATGACTTCAGCTATGACGGTCTGAGGGAGGCGGCGGACCGTGCAGCTGAGACGGGGACCAGCACCCTACGTGCAAAGGCCCTGGGTGCACTGTGGCTGAAGAGTGCGGGGAGTAGCCAGGGGCACAGGTGGTGAGGTCGGGTGCGGCAGGATTGATAGAACAGGGCTGGAAGGTGCCTGGAACAGTTTTGGCTTTTTTCTCGGAGTGAGCTGGGAAGTCCGTTGCAGGGTTTTAAGCTGGGGAGGGACAAAAAGTGACTCAAGGTTCAACAAGGTGGCCCAGTATGGAGCTCTAACTGGGGGGGCTGGGGGCATCCTGGGGCCATGAGATAGCAGTAGCCCGCACCAGGTTACTGGTGCAGTGTAGTGTAGTGGCGATAATGCGAAAGGGCCGATTCTAGGTATTTGGAAGGTAGAACCTTGATAATTTGACGGCCTGGAGTCTAGCCGACATGCGGTCATTGACGAGCTGTGACAGGCCACTTGGTTTTTTTTTTAAATGTTTATTTATTTTGAAAGAGTGACAGAAAGGGAGAGACAGAGAGAGTTCTTCCACCCACTGGTTAACTCCCCAAATGGCTGCAACGGCCAGCACTTGGGCCAGGCTGAAGCCTGGAGCCTGGAGCTGCAGTGTGGGGAGCAGGGGCCATATTCTCGAATATTTGGACCATCTTCCGCTGCTTTCCCGAAGCGCCTTAGCAGGGAGCTGGATAGGAGTCAGAGCAGCCGAGACTTGAGCCGGCGCCCACATGGGAGCTGGCAGTGTCCGAGGCAGCTCTGCACACTGTGCCACAGCGCCGGCCCCGAGCCAGCGCTTTCTGACCTGGCACCTGGAAGGCGTCATTATTCCTCCAAGGCTGTGACTTTATGCAGGACAGCTGCCCGGAGACATCTGTGGGCTCTGAAGCAGCTGACACTCCGAGTCTCTTTCCTAGCACCATGCAATAGCGCAGCAGTGAGAAAACATAGCCAGATACAGACTCCCGTGTGGGGTGTGTGTGTGTGTGTGTGTGTGTGTGTGCGTGCGTGGGCAGGGGGGGCGGGGAGCGCTGAGTCCCTCTGTCTGCCAGGGTGCTTTGTGCAGACAGCTTCAGCCTTGGCTCCTTCCAGACCCCCTTCCTCCCATTCTCCTAAAACCCCCACCCACGCTCTCTAGCCTTGCAATGTGGCCTGATGCCCTTCCTCTTTCTCCCTGCCCTGGGTCCCCGGGTAGAGCACTGCGTGGAGTTCCAGAAGACAAATGGCTCCCTGAACGTCACGTCTGAGAACGCCACCTCCCCCGTCATCGAGTTCTGGGAGTAAGTGAGGCCCCTCCCCCCTTGACCTCGGAGGGCAGGGGGCGGGCTGTGCGCAGTGGCCCCTCCTGCTATGCAGCGAGGGCGGAGTGGCCATCTCCTGCTTTGCTGGAACTGTCACCGGCGTGGCTCCTTCCTCTTGCGCCTGCATTGAATGCTGGCCTGGTTTCAGAGAGGGGAATTTTGCAATTCTTCTCTTTCTGCCCTTTCCTCACCCACGTCCCTGCCCCCATGGCGGGCGGTGCAGGTGCAGGGGCAGCCACTCTCCCACCCACCCTCCTCTTCCCCTAGTACCGACTCGCCCAGGGCACAGTTCCTGATAGCAAAGCATCCTGAAACCATGGCTGTGAAAGCACACGTTTGCACCACCTTCCCTGGGTGAAGTGCGTGCTCACAGCAAACTTGCCAGGCGACAGTTTATATTTGCCATCCTTTACATCTACCTGCATCTTTGGGCAAAGGAGAGCCTCGTGGGCTCTAGTGAAAAGGGTGGACCAGCCTTTGGACAAGAGCCTGGAGGCCTGGCCCTGCGGCCTGAGGCTCCGTGGGTTCTCACACAGAGGCTGAAAGACAGAGTGGAGCCACGCTCGGCCCTTCTCTCCCCAGGAGGAGGGTCCTGAAGATCTCAGATGGCATCCAGCACCTGGGCGCCCTGCGCTGGGAGCTGGTCCTGTGCCTCCTGCTCGCCTGGGTCATCTGTTACTTCTGCATCTGGAAGGGCGTCAAGTCCACGGGCAAGGTGTGTGTGGAGAGCACTGCCCTCACAGGGGGCTGGCACTCAGGACTCCCCTAATGGGTTAGTCAGCCTTTCATCGCTGTAGGCAATGCCCGGGAGAAGCTACTTATGAAGGAAGGAGGTTGACTGTGGCTCACAGCTTTGGTGGCTCACAGTCCAAAATTGGTAGCCACCTGGGGGGGGGACTTCCAGTGAGGGGGTAGATGGGAAGGTGGAGGGTGGGCATCACACGTTGAGCCAGGAAGTGGCTGGGCCTGGTTCTCAGGCTTTTATAACCAACTGCCTTCCAAGGGTACTCCCTCAATGACCTGTCACTGGGCCGGCCTTCCAGATACTAGGATTGATCAAGTCTCTAACCACTCAGGACCACTAAGTTATGCAGGAGTCAAGGAGCCAGGTCCTGGGTGGCCTCCACAAGGGAATGACCAGGAGAGACTTGGCGGGGCTCCCATGTCCTGCTGGTGTTTAGGGAGGTGAAAGGGGGGAGGGAGAGAGAGAGAAACAGGAAGCGCCCTTGCAAGAAACCTGATCTCGCAGTCAACCACACCTGTGGACATGCTGCCCTGAGTACCATTCATGGCTTCCTATTTCACGCAATGATTCTTTGGAAAAAGAATCCGTGAAGACTGTTCTTCTCAAAGGGGTACTCGGCCAATGCGAGGGTTCAGGGGACACTTCCTGTCCCCGTCAGGCTGATAGGTGGAGCCAGACTCATCAGCTGAGTGGGGAAGGGACCCTGTGCTGAGATCTCTTCCTACCTGACGGCCCGTGCCATCACTCCAGGCACTCTTGCTGGGAGGATGCCCAAGTTCATGTGGTCACTCAACACAAGAGTTACTGCATGTGCACCAGGGGAGGAAGAGAGGAGGCTGTGGCTCAAAGCACAGGGGAGACGGAGCGGAGCGACAGAGCCAGGAGAGGGACGCCCTTGCCTTTCCCGGGGGGTGGCAGCTCCCGCCTCAGCCCCTCGCCCCCACGGTGGCCTCCCCGGGCTGCTGCTTCCTAACGCACGGGCTCCTTGTCTCCCACCTACTCTTGCCAGGTGGTGTACTTCACAGCCACGTTCCCATACCTCATGCTGGTGGTCCTGCTAATTCGCGGGGTGACGCTGCCTGGAGCGGCCCAAGGAATTCAGTTTTACCTGTACCCAAACCTCACTCGCCTGTGGGATCCCCAGGTAAGACTTAGTCATGGACGGGGGTCCTTGGGTGGCTATGGAGGTGCATGGGCCCGCAGGCCTCCCCTCTGCTCTGCTGGGGATTCCTGCTCTTGGCCTGACCCTGGAGCATCCCCTAGGGTGGCGGAGCGCCCCTGCCTTTGCCAGACACCTGTCAGCCACTGCCTGTGGTTCATAAGATGTCCTGGGGTCCTGAGTGTCACTCCTTGGTTCGTGGCTGCCAGGGAGCCCCGGGGGCCCGTGGAATGTTCCCTGGGGGCTGAACGCCTGTCACTAAGCCCCTTTCCTCTCCAGCCACCTAATTTGCTCATCTTGGCGTCTTCTCGTCTCCTATCAGCCGCCTTCTGTTTTGCCCCTCCACCTGACACCCTCTGCGGCCCTCTGTGCCCGCTTCCCCAGCCCCTGTGCCAGCTGGGCTGGTGTTGGGTTTCCCGTCAGCTGTCCAGGCCCACCCCCCACCCCCACCCCCACCCCCTCCCTGGTCCTCTGCTGCCAGCTTCCTTGTGGCCGGCAGGAGGGCGGAGCTGCTGGGCTTGGAGGGGTTTGCGGAGCCAGGCCTGGTGCTGACAGGTCTCCTATTTTCTCCTCTTGGGCAGCTCCCACCACGGCCCCTGAAGTGCCATCCAGTTGGCCCCTGGGTGGGACGTGTAGTGCTGGCTGTGCCCTGGGTGGACAAGAGGGCACCAGGGAGACTGAAGGGTGGACGGTTCCCAAGGCAGAGGCACTCAGTGGCTTTCCAAACTTACACGGAGTGCACAGTCTCTGCAAGCATGATGGGATGCCAGGGGAAGGGCTGGGCACCCAGTGCCGGGGTTCCCTCGGGGGCCCAGGAGTCAGGTTAACCATGAGGCAGTGCTGTCCTGAAACAGGGTTTGGGGTGATCCACGAGCTGAGCTGATCCCAAGTCCCCCAGCCAAAGCTTTCTTCCACTGGGACTGCCGGGGCTCCACTCAGGAACCTCCGCCTAGAGTCCGGTGCCGGGTGTTTCTTAGCCATCTTCCGGGTGTCCTCCCCTCCACCTGTCTTGGATGTCCTGGAGACCCCAGTGGCTCCGGCCTCATTTCCACACTGGGCACCAGGGCTGTGCTCGGGGTTTGGAATCCAGCCATAGAGCCAGAGCCGTGGGTGCTGCATGAACCCCAGGGTTGTCTCCCACAGTCTTCTTGTTGCACAAAGGAGCAAGTTGTGGCCCCAACTCATGCAGCATGTGGGTGGCAGGCCAAGGTGGCTTTGCGAATCCCAAGCCCTTCAATGTACTGGGAAGCAGAGAGGTGGGCACAAAGCAGAAGATGGGGGCAACAGATTGGAGGGGAGGCGTTGAGGGCCGGGTGAAGCGTTGTAGCTGGGATCCCCCACCCCAAAGGGAGCCCTTGCCATCCATGGCAGAGGTCAGACAGGGCCCAGGGGCAGGGGTGCACTTGGGCAGGGAGACAACACGGGCCGGGAAAGAGAAAAAGGAGGGAGGCCTGGGGTTTCCAGAACCCACTGTGGCTTTGTGTGGTTAACAACTGGTGGCTGCTTATGAGATCACTCCAAACAGTTTGTGGGAAATGGAATTAGAAGATAAGTTTATTTTGGCACGCGCACGCGCACACACACACACACATACAATCCATGGAGTATTTTTCCTGCTAGACGTTTTCTGAGAACTTTCTGAAGCTCCTCTCGGCCTCGGTAGGAGGTGTGCATGCATCATTCCCGCAGATCCTAGGCAGCAGGCGGGTGACTGCCCTGTTCACAGACAGGGAAATTGAGGCCAGAGAGCTTAATGACGTGCTAGCTTCTATTTTCAGGGAAGAATTTCCTGTGGAGCCAGGCTGGAGTCGTGAAAAGTCCCACAAATGTTTTACGATCCCTCCGAAAGGCAAGGCCCCTGTTGGCTCCTGTTAGTCGCTCTCACAGTTTGTTCCTTCTGCAAAACTTGTTGAGCATCTGCTCCGTGCTGGGCCGGTGCCAGGTGCAGCCGTGTGAAGAGCAGCCAGGTTCTCTCAGCTCTGACGACTGATCAGGCCGTGTGTGAGTGACTGCAGGAGATGGGGGCTCTTTTCATCTGCACCCCAGGGTGTCACCCCTCAACCCTGGCCAACTGCAGACTGTGCAGGCTGCTCCTGGCGTCCAAGTGCTTCAAGGCTGCAGGGAGGGAGGTGTTGCGACAGCCAGACTCGGTCCTGAGCTGCAGGCCCCCACTGAAGCGTGGCCTTTGTTGCCGGGAGACAGAGAGGCACCCGCGCGGTGGAACACCCTGCCACAGCCCTCATTGGATCTAGCTGGCTCTCCCTGGGAAGCGCGATCATTCCAACTGGCATTTGCCAGGTGCTTGAGAGCTGCAAAACGCCTGCTAACCATTGCGAAAACCCAAGACTTTCCCTCTGCCAAGCACCAGGGCTGGGAGCTGGGAGCCAGGCCATGGGAATGCAGTGCCTGTGTCTTGTTCCCTCCTCTTCTTCTGCCTGGCTGGCCAGGTGCTGGGCCAGTCCTTGCCTGTCCTGTGCTCCCAGGTTTGCCTCTCTCTCGCTGGGCATGACCTCTGGGGCCACGGAGTGCCACTGAACAGTGTGTGCTTGGAGCAGGCCACTCGCCTCTTCCCCTCGACCTCCCTCTGTTTGTATTGAACTTTGGCAGATAGATAAGGGTAGCGGGATTGGGAGGAGACTGTCCAGAGAGCCTGAGCTGAGCCTTTGCAGTCCCGGGGTTAAGCAAGGCTCAGAAGGCTAATGCATGCGTACAGTTTGGTGTAACACCTTACGTCTGCGATGATGCCCCAGTAGCACAGAAAGCTGAATTAAAAAAAAAATAACAGCAACCACAAACAGCTGCAAAAGCTGACCCCTCTTCATGTGTTCATGTGCTTGTCACTTGCCAGGCACAGCACTGAGGGCCTGACCCAGTGAGCTAGTGGGTGGCTAGGGAGGAATGGAAGCGGACAAGACTTAAGAAATTTGCTCACAGGGCTGGCGCTGTGGGGCAGTGGTGAAGCTGCTGTTTAGGACACCCATATCCCATATCAGAGTTCCGGCTCGAGCCCCGGCTCCTCTGTTTCCCATCCAGCTTCCTGCTAATGGAGGCAGCAAGTGATGGCTCTAGTGGCTGGGTCCCTGCCACCTGCATGGGGACCCAGAATGAGTTTCTGGCTTAGGCCTGGCCCAGTCCTGGTTGTTGGGGGTATCTGGGATGTGGGCCAGCAGATGGGAGCTCGCTCTCTCTCTGTTTCATTTTTCACTCTGCTGCTCTGCCTTTCACGTAGAAAGGTAGGAAGGGAGGAAGAAAGGGAGGGAGGAAGGGAGGAAGGCAGGCAGGCAGGCACTGCCTAGAACACAGAGCCAGCACGTGGTGGAGCTCAGCTTTCATCCCAAGTCATCTCTAAGTCTGCTGTCTTAGTCGCCGTGATAGGTATTTTCCAAAGTTCATGAATTAATTGAGAGTTTAAAAAATTGTTTATTTACTGTCATTTTATTTGAAGAACAAGTGACACGGAGAGAGAATTTTCTACCTGTTGGTTCACTCCCCGTATGCTTGTGACAACCAGAGTTAGGCCAGGCCAGGCCAAAGCCGGGATTGTGGGACTGAATCAGGCTCTCCCACCTGGGTGGGAAAGACTCAGGCACTGGAGCCGTCCTCTGCCACCTCCCGGGATGTGCGTTAGCAGGAGGCTGGGTTGGAAGCGGCGTAGCCAAGATTCAAACCAGGCACTCTGATATGGGGCGCAGGGTTCCCAAGCAGAGGCGTAGCCACTGTGCCGCAATTCTCACCCCTGCTTGCGTGTTTGGAGGGCTGCTTTTGAATATTCCAGGAACTAGAGAGGGAACTAGCATTTACTCATGTGGTAGGCGTTTCACATACTTTGTATTATTTGTCATGATACCCATTTCCTACTGAGAACAGGGCGGGGGCAGGGGGCCAGAGGTGAAAGGACTCATGCGTGACTGGAGTGAGGATTTGCGCCCAGATCAGCTTCGGGGTACTTTTCCCTAAAATAGTGAGGTCGGTCTTCCCGGTGCTGGGGCTTGCTTTCCTGGACCTCCCGGGGGGCTTCCTCTGGCCCCACCGATGCCTCTGTTTACCTGCACTTAGTCAGTGCCTTTTGCACTTGCTTTTCCTCTTGGTCAGTCCTCTGCCCCAGCCAAAGACACATCAGAGGTTTGTTGAGAAGCCAGGGCTCCTGGAATGGGCAGGGGGTGGTCGCCTGAGGCGGGGAACAGGACAGCACGCTCCGCTCGGCCTTCTGACCCCATTCCATCCCCTCCCGCCGGCCCGGCAGGCCTGCCAGGCTGCAGCTGTGCCGAGAGCTGGGCTTGCCAAGCTCCCGGCATGGGGGCTCTGGGCGGAGGCTCTGAACTCAGCCCTCCTGCGGAGCTCCTCTCTATTCCCATCACCCCCTCCTCCCAGCTCCCTCTGGGGCTGCCCCCCACCGGCCCAGTGGGCAGCCAAGTCACGCTGCCTCTGACTCTGCATGCACAAGTTCACGGAACAGAACGCATCACCAGCAAAGGCCGGAGCGCCTGCCCACCTGTGAGGGCGCTCGGGAGTGGCCTTGCCGACTAGTGGCGCCTGTGCACATCTTGTATGGGGAGTGAGTCCCAGGCTTCGATCTCAAGGCTCTGGGGTCGCATCCTGAGCGTGTGCTGAGGCCCTCCCCCCACCCCCCATCCAGCCAGCTCCCACCCTGGGCAAAGCTTTTAGTGAAGAGAAGCAGGAAGGGCAGGGAACACGGTAACCTTCACGGCAAAGGACCGTTCCCCCGGGGCTGTGGGAAAGGGCTTGAGATACCTGGGAGCGGGGCAGGGGCTGGCCAAGGCGTCCCTGCAGCCTGGGGGTCTGCAAGCACCTGCCTCACGTCTCCTGCCTGCCTTCTCCTGTCTTTCCTAGTTTCCCTCCTCCCTGCTTCACTTTGGCCCCTCCCCACTCTCCTCTGTGCCTCTCCGCTCCTGCCTGGCACGTGAACCACACAGGGCCAGGGCTGGGGCCGGCTCCTCTCTCCCAAGGTGTCCCCCTGCCCTGTCCACGTTCCCGCGGAAGTGGAAGTGTGAGAAGAGGAGGAGACCCCTGTGGAATCCCTGATGCCCCTTCCCAGGTGCTGGAGGGAGTAATCCCGCAGCTGGCTCTGAGCATGGCCTCACCTGGGAGTCCGGGAAAGGGGCAGTCCCTGGCCCTCCTTCGGTGTCTCGACTGGGGGCAGGGGCATCAGTGTGATTCTGAGGTGGTCAGCCTGCCAGGGGGTCCCTGGGACCCTGTGATGCCGTGGACAGTGGGCACTGTGATGGGGTGAGTGTGACAAGATGGAGCCAGGGGTTGGGGCTCTGGGTGATGGCCATGGTGACCGAAGAGCTTTGCCCAGAAAGAAACCAAGGCTTTGGTGTGTGTGGGAGTCGCAGGCCTGATGTTGGACACAGGAAGTGAGGGGAGAATGGGGGCATTGAGGTGGGGTGGTCCAGCGCCCTTTCTGTGAGGAGCGGGAACGCCTGCTGGGCAGTGCCTGTGTCCATAGCCGGAGGCAGGAGTGGCTGGGGAGGGCCTGCAGCCCCAGGGCCCGCCACCTGCAGGTCTGGATGCTCTATGGCCGTCCTCTTTGGGGTGTTATTCTAGCTGTTCAATCGAAATCACAGCACGCGCAGGCTGGGGCAGCCAGCTGAGATAATAATGGGAACAGCCATGCCCTGTGTTTAGCCAGAAGTTATTTTCCCCCCAAGGAGTACAAAGCCTTTCCAGCTGTATTTCTGTTCACCCCTTGGCTCCCTGTGAGCTGTGCACGACTCCCTGTTTTCCCGAAGGTTCTGAGATGTGACGGCCTTGGAGTTAAGGGCTCAGCTGTCTGCGGATGCTGAGTCTGGATTCCCTCGTCACTGGCCACACTGCCGTGGAGGCCCGTGAGAGGAGAGATGGGACAGAGCCCAGGGCCACATTCCCTCCGTCCACAGCTGGACCCCAGACCTGGCTTTGTCCTGGGGCCCCACGCATACCTCTGCAGCACGGGACTTTTCATCTTCTCTGGCCGCTGAATGCCTGTTGCTATCCTGGTGGTGACCAAGAAACTGCAGGCAGGAGCCCAGGGAGCAGAGCACACAGGGTTCCCCCGGGGGTGGCTGCATTGGCTCGGAACAGGTTTATCCCCACCTACGCCCTCCCCCGGAGGCCCAGAGGGCCTGGCACCCTGGGACTTCAGGCTTCCTGCTTCTTCCCTTCCTAGGTGTGGATGGACGCGGGCACCCAGATCTTCTTCTCCTTCGCCATCTGTCTGGGCTGCCTGACGGCCCTGGGCAGCTACAACAAGTACCACAACAACTGCTACCGGTGAGTGGCGGCCGTGGGCCCGAGTCACACACCTGTCTCTCTCCTGTCTCTCCAGCCATGCCAGACCAGGGTTGAGGTGCAGGGGGCAGCAGCCGCAGGATCTGTGCCTCCTCCCAGTCTCCAAAATCCCAGGGCTACCAGGAGCCACCTGCAGCAGGGGCGGGGGCCCCGCTTCCGGAAGGGTACGAGGGTCCTGGTCAGCCCGGAGGCCGTAGTGAGGCTTGGCCAGGGAGGCGTGGATTTCTTGATTAGTCTGGCTAACGGGGAGGTCAGTGGGCTCAGGGGCACCAGGCAGGCAGGCCTGAGCAATCAGCAGAAACGTCACACAGGGCAGCCGAGGTCCATCCTGCTTGATCGCGGTGTCCCCGCAAGCATGCAGACTCACCCAATCCCAACTCACCTCCCGCACAGGAGGTGGAAAGTCAGATGAAAGATACATTTACTTTGGTGCATAAAAGGTTGAAGCCCCTGCCTACCAGGCGGCTTCCTATAAAGATTGTGGAAAATGTATCCTATGAAAAACTTCTTCCACTTCAGTGAGTGTATCTTTTAATTCCATGCCCCACAAGCACGTTTTAAAATTTGTATTTATTTATTTGAGAGGTAGGAAGATACACACACACACACACACACACACACAGCACCCCCATCTGCTGGTTCACTCCATGCCTGCAGCTGTCTGGGCCGAGCTGGGCTGAAGCCAGGATCTGGGCACTCCATCCAGATCTCTCACATGGGTGGCAGAAACCCAACTACTTGAGCCATGGGCACTTCCTCCCAGGGTCTGCATTCGCGGGAAGCTGGAGTCAGGAATGGAACTGAGACCTGAAGCCCTGCAGGGGGCGCTGCAGTCGGGGTTTTAACCTATCGTGGAAGCCCCCTCAGAAGCCTCCTATCTGCTATTCCCTCACTGCATGTCCTCTCCTGTTGTCTCCTCCTGCCTACCTGGTTCATGCTCAGGGAATTTAAGTCAATTTCAGCACTATGGCTGAAAAAAAAAAATCCGATCATACGTTTCACGCTGGAATTTAGGGCCTCAGAATTCCCTCTCGTTTGCAGGGATCTATGTCTGTATCCCCTCCTCCAGCCTGCAAACATGTCACACGGGGCAGCTGTGTGGCCGCAACGTGGCAGGGAGGGGAGGCCGCGTGTGATATTGAGATGAGTGCTTCACTCCCTTTGCGCCTTATGGGACCACCTCGCTGCATTTCACAGCTGAGCCCGCGGGGGTCCAGGCTGGTGGAGCAGTCTGCGCCTGGAACAGGCCTCTGGATTCTGCCAGGGACTGCCCCTCCGTCGTCCCCAGGGTTCTTGGGGCCCTGATGGGTATGGCAGCCTCCTGACTGCACCCTCCCCTGCCCCGCCCCACAGAGACTGCCTGGCCCTCTGCCTCCTCAACAGCGGCACCAGCTTCGTGGCCGGCTTTGCCATCTTCTCCATCCTGGGCTTCATGTCCCAGGAACAGGGGGTGCCCATTTCCGAGGTGGCCGAGTCAGGTGAGTAGCGGGGCAGGGCAGCGGGGCCTGAGCCTGCTCTGAGCATTTGGCAGTCAGGATCTGGGGGCGTGGCCATTGGCACCTGCACTCTAGGTGAGCTGTGGTCACTTTGCAGTGAACACCTGCTGGTTAGAATTGGGGAAGGGTTTATTGACTTGAGAGGGAGGGAGGGAGGGAGGGAGGGGGAGAGAGAGACACACACACACACACTCCCATCTGCTGGTTTACTCCCCAAATGCCTCCCTGGGAAGCGAGCTGGGAACTCAGCCCAGGTTTCCCATGTGGGTGGCAGTGATCCAAGCCCGCAGGTCATCACCTGCTATCTCCCAGAGTGTGCATTAGCAGGAAGCTGGAAGAGGGAGTGGAGCTGGGGCTCAAACCCAGACACTTGGATATGGGAGGTGGGTATCCCAAGAGGTGTTTTAAGTGTGTACCAGGTGCCCGCTGCTGGAGGGTTTAAACAGCTTCAAGGAGGACCTGGGTACTAGTGAACAGCTATCTCCCATCGCTGGCCTCTAGTTCCTTACTCTGGAGGCAACCAGTGTTGTCAACTTCATGTTTACTCTTCTGGAAATAGTTTAGGCTTACATACACCCATACACATTCATACATTCACACATATCACTCTTACCTCCTTCTTAAAATCCAATGATAACATACTAGCTACTTTTAAAAAATATTTATTTTATTTATTTATGGATCAGAATTACAGAGAGAGGGAGAGAGGGAGAGACAGAGAGGTCTTCCATCTTCTGGTTCACTTTCCAGATGGCTGCAATGGCCGGGGCTGGGCCAGGCAAAAGCCAGGAGCCAGGAGCTTCCTCAGGGTCTCCCACATGGGTGGCAGGGGCCCAAGCACTTGGGCCATCCTCTGCTGCTTTCCCAGGTGCATTAGCAGGGAGCTGGATTAGAAGTGGAGTAGCCGAGACTCAAACTTGCTCCTATATGGGATGACAGTGACTTAACCTGTGGTGCCACAGTGCTGGCCCCCATACTAGCTACTTTGTTGTTACTTTATGTAATCTGCCCCTGCCTTATTTTGTTCACTTTAAAGTGTATCTTGGAGATCAGTGTCAGGGGCAAGTAGAGATCCCCCTCCCTTAGTGACTGCCTTCCTACCAGGCAGCGATGTTGCTTTTATTTTTCTTTATTTATTTTAAAAATTTATCTTATTTATTTGAAAGGCAGAATTACTGAAAGACAGCTAGAGGCAGAAGGGGAAAGAGAGACATCTTCCATTAGATGGTTCACTCCCCAAATGACCCCAGTGGCTGGACCTGGGTCAGGCTGAAGCCAGGAGCTTCATCCCAGTCTCCCACATGGGTGCAGGGACCCAAAGAATTGGGCCATCTTCTGCTGCTTTCCCAGATGCATTAGCAGGGAGCTGGATGGGAAGTGGAACAGCTGGGACTCGAACTGGTGCCCCTGTAGGAAGCTGGCATTGCAGAGCGCCAGCCTCAATGTTGTTGCTTTTAAATCAGTTCAGAGACTGGTTCCCCATATGGTTGAGCTGTCAGATGACCCCTACTGTCCCCCATTCTTGTGGACCACACACTTTTACTGTAGCAAGATCATTTTTTATCTATGCATCCACACCTATTACCCACAATGCCAAGGACTGAGCAACTTTTTTTTTTAATTAGAAAGGATAATATCTTCATTTAAAAATTTATTTGTTTATTTGAAAGCAGAGAGAGACAGGGGGAGGGAGGTGGGGAGACAGAGACCGACAGACAAACAGCAAGGATCTTCCTTCAAATGGTTCACTCCCCAACAGCTAGGGCTGGCCCAGGCTGAAGCCGGGAGCTGGATCTTCCGTACAGGTGGTGAGGACCCAGGTCACCACCTGCTTCCTCTCAGGGTGCACATTAGCAGGAACCTGGAATCAGAAAGCAGAGCCAGCGCTCACAGCCAGGCACTCTGATACAGGACGTGGGCGTCCCAGGCGGCGTCTCGACTGCTGTGCCCAACACTTGCCTCATTTCTGCTTTATTAAGCACCTGGCAACTGCCAAACGCAGCACGAATGGTTTTTGCTTGTCCCGTGGTGCAGATACGGGTACTAATTCTAGTCCCAGCCTCCCCACCCTCACCCCACCCTGGGCCTGAAGAAGTCTAGGAGTCTCCAGGGCCACAGGGATGCTCTTTATTTTTCGGAGGAAATTTCCTGGGGACCCAGCCAGGCTCTGGCTCGGCAAGTTGTTGCTGCCACTTGAGTTGGCCGAGAGGAACAACCATGCGCTTGGCGGGGTGTGTGTCTGCTGTGTTCCGAGACGCACGCCAGTTCACTCCTTGGAGGGGGACAGGTGCAGAGCAGTTGGCCGCAGGCCCCAGCCAGATGTGCCCAGGGACGTCTTGTCTTTGAACCCCTCTGCCTCATAAACACAACCAAGTCACCGCCCTCGGCTGGGGCACAAGAGCTGCAGCTCCACCAGGCCTGGCCACTTCCTCTTGTTTTGAACTGGGTGCTGGCCACCCCTGGGTTCACCCTGAGTTTGAGTCCTCCGGCTTGGGGATCCACAGCGCCTCACCGTGCGGAGTCTTCTGTCCATGTCGTCTCCAGCCTCTGTTCTTGCCACTAAGGACACAGCAGGTGGTGGCTTGGGAATCTGAGGAGCAGGTAGAGGTTTGGGGGGGGGCTCCTTCAGGATGAGGATGGGAACTTTGGGGTGAAGTTTCCCCCAGGGTCTGCTCTCCCACCGCCTCACTCTGGGAAGCGCAGGGTCACCGCCGGCCGGGAGCTGGCCAGGCACTGGCTGTGTTCCTCTGCTCCCTGCTGCAGGGCCTGGCCTGGCTTTCATCGCCTACCCGCGGGCGGTGGTGATGCTGCCCTTCTCCCCTCTCTGGGCCTGCTGCTTCTTCTTCATGGTCGTTCTCCTGGGACTGGATAGCCAGGTACCGAGAAGTGGCCGAGTGGCTGGGTGTGGGCTGGGGGAGGCAGAGCAGAGCACCTGAGGTTGGCCTTGATTTCCCAGGGCCCCAGGCCAATGTCAGAGGTGGGAGCCCTTGCAGGGCCCCCGGGGGGAGATCCTGAAGCTGCAAAGGTGGCAGCGCTGGGGACGGGGGAGCCTGCCAGAGCAGGAAGCCAGGGCTGGTGGCCAGGGCTTGTTTTGGGAGCTCTCTTTCCCTCCAATTCTCTCCCCTCTCATCCAGTTTGTGTGTGTAGAAAGCCTGGTGACGGCGCTGGTGGACATGTACCCCGGCCTGTTCCGCAAGAAAAACCGCAGGGAGTTCCTCATCCTGGCCGTGTCTGTTGCCTCCTTCCTGGTGGGCCTGGTGATGCTCACAGAGGTGAGGGGCAGGGGGCAGGGGGTGGGGGCGCAGGGCCCCTGCGCAGCAAGGGGAAAGTAGGCAAGCGCCTCCTCCGGCCTCGGGGAGCCGGCCGCCTTCCTCTGGGTACTTTGCGCTAAGGGGTGATTGGGAAGGCGCGCATTGGGGTCACCCCCGGAAGCTTCTTGGCGCATGGATGGCATCTCTGAAGAGGAGGAAGGGGGTGCAGAGCGCGTCACTGGCTGAACCCCAAGACAGCCCTGAGAGTGCGCTCCTCACACCACCGACGGCTCTGGGTACCCGCTCAGTGTTCTCGGGAAGGTTGCACGGCCATCTGCATTGCGCAAAAACAGCCACCTGTGGTGCAGCTGCCTGCTGCTCTGGGGCTCACACGCTAAATTCTCCTTTCCTATGTGTCTCCAACCACGCCCCGTGTCCCCGCAGTGTGAGGCTGGGGGTGGGGGCAGGGCGAGGTGGGCCTCCCCAGACACAGTCACTGAAAGTCGCTGCCTCCTTCCCGGCAGGGCGGCATGTACGTCTTCCAGCTGTTTGACTACTACGCAGCCAGCGGCATGTGCCTGCTCTTTGTGGCGATCTTTGAGTCCTTCTGTGTGGCTTGGGTTTACGGTGAGTGACTTGTCCCCCAGGGTCCCAACCCCACCACTCGCCTGCGTCTCTGGGCCCGTGGATGAAATCTCACCCCCCCCAAACCCCAAGACTCCTTGGGTGGTCCTTCAGCCCTAGCACCCTGCTAAGGCAGACCCTGGGAGGCAGCAGTGGGGGCGCCAGGTGTCAGGTCCCTGCCACTCAGACAGGAACTGGGTTCCTGGCTCCTGATTCTGACCCCAGCCCAGCCTTGGCTTTCAATGCCTCCCAGGAGAAGGGCCTTGCAGGGGTCGCTGTGCCCACCTCGTGGTGAGAGCCGCGCCCGTGCGTTTCAGGGGGGCCCTGTCCTACCCAGGCCTGTTCACCTTCTCACCCCCTTGGTCAGGAAGCCACTGCTGCCACTCAACCCAGTTCTGCCCTCCGTTTGTGCCTGAGGATGGCAGGCAGGGTTCCTGTCCCCACAGCAAGCAGGACGGAAAACCACGGCGCCTTCTGTGCCCCTGCCGCCCTCGTCCGTGTGGCCTCCATGCTCGTGCTTCGGGTGCTAAAGGTGTCCCCCCCTCCCCGCCTCCTCTCCTCCGCGGTAGGAGCCAGGCGCTTCTACGACAACATCGAGGACATGATTGGATACCGGCCGTGGCCCCTCATCAAGTACTGCTGGCTCTTCTTCACCCCGGCTGTGTGCACGGTGAGACAGCCCTCAGGCAGAGCCGAGGGGAGGTGGAGGAGATGGTGGTGGTGGTGGCGGCATGGGGAGGCCGTCAGCCCTCCAGGGGACTTCTCCCCAGCAGAGCAAAGTTCTCTGGGACAGTCCTGCCTTCTGTGGGAGTCTAGAAAGCCCAGCAAGATAGGGTCTTCCTTTCCATCTCACAGATGGTGAATTGAGGGCCAGAGCAGGCACTTCCACCTGCACCACCCGCAGTGTGCATGGCACGTGGTGGGCGGGACGGAAACCCGAGGGCGGGGCTAGCTCAGAGCAGTACTGAGGTCCCCTGGCAGTAACAGCAGCCGGGGCAGCCAAGCACTTGCTCCGTGCTGGGCTCACAGCGCCGTGCCTGCAGCCACTCATTTCATCCTCATAGGATCAGTGGAGATGACCCCTCAGTGTCCCCAGGAGCTTGGTTCCAGCACACCCTAGGTGTGTCTCTCAGGTCCCTCTGTGACGCGGTGTAGTGTTGCAGACTTTAAATCGTCTCAGCCAGCACGCTGTAAATGCTGCGGACATCACGCTACGCGGTCGCTTAGGGACATGGCAAGAAGGAGACTGCACGACTCAGTACAGAAACATTTGAAAAAGTGTTTTCTTTTTTACTACGAATTTAAAGATTATTTTTCTTTTTCTTCAGAGACAGGGAAAGATGATAGAGAGATAGAGAGATAGAGAGATAGAGAGATAGAGAGATAGAGAGAGAGAGAGAGAGAGAGAGAGAGAAAGATTGTTCTCATCTGCTGGTTCACTCCCTAAATGCCTGAAGTGGCCAAGGCCAGGCCAGGCCAGGAGCCAGGAACTGAAGTCTCCCATGTGGGTGGCAGGGACCCAAACACTTGAGCCATCACGGGCTGCCTCCCAGGGTCTGTGGTAGCAGGAAGCTAGAGTTGGGAGCGGAGCCAATACCTGGACCCAGGCGCCGGAATTTGGGATGCAGGTGTCCCAACTGGCGGATTAACCACCGGGTCGAACGCCCGCCCCTCCTCTTTAATCTTCCCAGTCTGTGGTTGGTTGAGGTCGCCCCTGCGGAGCTCCTGGGCGTGGAGCCAGCTGTGCTCTGCGATCCTCACTTTGCAGGTGAGACCTCAGCTGGAAAGTGGCAGAGCCTGGAGCTGCCTAGGGGAGCAGCTGCCCAGCCCCGCTGTGTGCAGGTTACAGAGGAGGAAGGGCGGGGGTGGGGGGTGTGGATCCTGCCCTTGAGGTACCGCCAGCCCCAAATGGTGCTCCAGAATGCAAACACCTCAAAGCCCCCAGCAACACCTAACTGCGTCCTCATAGGGAGCCAGGCTGGTGCTGGGGTGCCTGGGGGCACAGGGCCCTGTGTGTGTTGGGGGGGTGACCTTGTGGCATAGCTGGTTAAGCCCGCCTGCTGTGCCAGCATCCCATATGGGCGCCAGTTCGAGTCTCAGCTGCTCCACTTCCGATCCGGCTCTCTGCCATGGCCTGGGAAAGCAGTGGAAGATGGCCCAAGTCCTTGGGCCCCTTCATCCACGTGGGAGACCTGGAGAAAGCTCCTACCTCCTGGCTTTGAATGGTGCAACTCTGGCCATTGTAGCCATTTGGGGAGTGAACCAGTATGTGGAAGACTTCTCTCTCTGTCTCCGTCTCTCTGCCTTTCAAATAAACCAATCTTTTTTTTTTTTTTTTTTAAAGAAATACCTACAGGGGGTAGTGTGCAGGTTGGGGCGCAGGTGGGTACAAGTTGGAGGCCCAGACAAGCATGGGGACAAATCCAGCTTGGAGTGTGAGGGCTCCCAGGCCAGTTCGTGGGGTGGGGTGGGGGGGCTCTGCGGGTGCAGGGGTCCGCCCCTCAGCCCCTGTGTCCTTCGCTGTCACCCTCAGGGCACCTTCCTCTTCTCCTTGGTCAAGTACACGCCCCTGACCTACAACAAGAAGTACACGTACCCCTGGTGGGGCGACGCCCTGGGCTGGCTCCTGGCTCTGTCCTCCATGGTCTGCATCCCCGCCTGGGGCCTCTACAAACTCAGCACCCTCAAGGGCCCCCTCCGAGAGGTAGGGGGCTAGGAGCAGGCCGAAAGGGGGGCCCTGTGAGATGGTGAGCTTCCTGCTGGGGCGGGGCTGGTGCCCAGGAGGGGCCAGCGAGTCTGGTGCCCGCCTAGGGAGATACAGGGTGGGCGTCTGGAAGCCTCACTGAGGGTCCAGGTCTGGGGAGAAGCCCAGACTGACCCCTGCATCGTGACAGCCACCTGTTCTCCCCTCGCAGAGACTCCGCCAGCTTGTGTGCCCAGCTGAGGACCTGCCCCAGAGGAGCCCAGCGGGACCCCCTGCTCCTGCCACACCCAGGACATCCCTTCTCAGAGTCACAGAGCTGGAGTCTCACTGCTAGGGCCAGGCCCTCGGAGGGTGCCTGCCGGCCTGGCTGCGGGAACAGCTGAGGGGGTGTGCTTGCGTGAGCAGAAGCAGCCCCCCCCTCCCCCACATGGGGTGGATAAGACACAAGGGGCTGTTCTGGAGCTGGCCCTGTCGGCTGGAAGCTCCCTGGCCTGGGAGTGGCAGGGACAGACAAGGAAATGCTAGTGTCAGGAGCATCCCTTTGGCGGGGCCAGGAGGCTGGGCGAGGGCTGCAGGGGAGGCAGTGTGTGTGTGTGTGGCTGGCCTCTGGGCCCTTCTGCCTGTCGTTCCATTAAATCCAAGTCCTTCCTGCGGCCAGCTGTCGTGTCTGGTTTGTGCCCCTCTGCCTTGCTGCATGGACCGCTGGCCTGCTTTGAGGTCGCAGCCCTGGGGCCCTGCCCGCTCCCCATGCTGCCTCCCTTCGCTGAGTTCCCCAGGCAGCAGCCGTGATGGAGATCTGCCATCGCCACACTTGGGGACGGGAGGAGGCTGCCACCCCCGCCCCCCAGAGGCCCTCTGCTCCTCTTTAGCAGTGGAGTAAGAAAGGAGAGCCAGGCTCTGGCTAAGGGAACCACCACTCGAAGTCTTCCTGCCCACATTTTCCTTGCTGGTCCTCACCTGCCCCCGGTTGCCCAAACTGCCTCCCTGTGGGTATGCCCCACCACCTCCAAGGCCTGGTGCACGAGGCAAAAGCTGGCACGTCTTAGCCTGGGCAGAGGGCACTACTCCAGCTCTGCCAGCAGAGGGAGCTCACCGTCTTAGGACCGCCTGGCTCTTAGGCTTGCCGGAGGACTGCACGAGGGGTGGTGTCACTACCAGACATGGCCGCGAGGGGGCATTGCCACAAGCACAGCTCCCCTGTCAGGGCCTAATCCGCACTGACATCTTTGCCAGTCTTCAGCATTTGATTTCTTGTTGCTGGAAGTTGGGGAAAAAAAAAAATCAGTGTTGGGGGCTCTGCCGTACGTTGGTTTCACTACTCCTTCCCGGAGAGGGGCGGGGCGGGTCTTCCCCAAAGCTGCCAGGCTCACCCCCAGGGCTCGGTGGGAGAATCGGACTTTCTGGAGGCAGGTGCTGGAGGCGAGCTGCCACGCACCTGGCATCTCCCGCCACCTGGCTGCGCTTCCGGAACGCCAGCTGTGTTGGACTGGGCTGCGCTCGTAAAGCGTGCTGGGCAAAATCAGACATGATTTCCTAAACCACAAGTGGTGACAAACGCCATGAAGGAAAAGGGTGATGGGCTGGGAGTAGCTGCTCTCTGGGCAGGTGCACGGAGCTGTTCTGCGGGCGTACCTGGAAAAGTGGGGTTGAAAGGCGAGTTTATTTTGGAGCAAAAAAAAAAAAAAAAAAAAGACAAGCAAGGAAAAAGGAAATCTGTGCACCTGGTTTTTATGACGCACATTTTCATGAACTTTTTGAAGATCCCTGTGTTTTTTGCACCAAGACAAGCTTCCTTTTTCCGTGGACTTCTTGCAGTTGCCTTGTATCTGTCTCTCTGTCCACACATTTGATCAAGGTGCCAGAACCCATCGGGTCCAGGAAGCTGTGCAGGCAGGCATCTCTGTGATGGTGACTGGATCCTGACTGAGGGGGTCTGCTTGGGGTGGGAGCCACCCCTTGGCATGAGGCCCAGGAGATGCGTGCTGGCCCGGACTTGCCTCTAACTAGCTGTGTGCCTGTGTGGAAGCTCCTTGGAATGCCTGGTTGTTGCTTTTCAGAGAAAGCTCATACTGGGCATGCCCCCTACACACCGGTGTGCAAGAGGCTCACACGAGGGCCGTTCCCATCACTTGGTGCCAAACCCAGTGAAGGCACGGCTGGGGGAGAGATGCTCTTCCAACTGGATAGGCCGACAGGCGGCACTGCAGAAACTCTGCGGGCCAAGGTCAGGGCTGGGAGCAGCAATGCCTGGATTTGGCTCTGGCCAACGAGTTGAAGAACGGGGATGGCAGTGGGCATGGAGGGGCTGCTGTGTCAGTCCTGTCTGCCTGAAAGGGCAGAACCTGGAGCCTGCAGATCCAAAGGGAAGAGGAGCTCTCTCTTGTCCAGAGGCGAACTCTGTGAGAGAAGACAGGGAGGCAGGGACAGCCTTGGGGCAGGTGATGCTGAGAGGAGACAGCCAAGCGTGGGGGCTGGTGAGTTACGGACGGCAGCTCTGGGCCTCAGACTTCAGCCCTTGTGCAGGTGTCACCAACTCTTGCATTTCCATATGGGCGTGCACACAGGCCCTCGCTGTCCTCACATGTGCACGTGAGACCCCATTGTCCACCGAGCCCGCTGCTGCACAAGGCTGGCAGTCCTGGCTGGGATCCAGCCCCTGTACCTCCCAGCTGTGTGGCCTGGAGCAAGCTACCCTGTCTCTTCTGTGAAACAAGAGTGACACGACCCTCATCACAGTGTCACTGGAACACACTCCAGCAAATGCGCCCTGTTTCCCATGACTGCAGCCATACCACGTCAGCTGTGCGTGCAACGGAAAAGCCGATGCAGAGCTCAGACATAGCCTTGATGGCCCCTGCTCCCCCTGCCTCAGACGTGGGGCTGTGCTGGGCCCCTGGGGCAAGGCCACACCGTCAGTGACATAACCATTGTTAGAAGGAGGCAGCAACAGGTGGCCCTGAAGTGCCCCTGCATCCTGTGGCCTGAGCGTGCTGCTCAGCACAGCAGTGCTGTCCGGGAGAGCAAGACCTCACCCTCTACACCATTGTC